CTATACCCTATACAACACTATACGGCCTGACTATAAGGTCGAGAAAAAAGCAAAAAAAATTTTGCTGAAAGCGGCTCACTTGCTGTAAAACTACCCACCAAAACTGCTGACGTTTGCACATTAATCATACACTTTATTAAAGCGCTGTTTTAGACCTTTCCAATTTGTAGCAATTGGTGGAGTTTGGCTTCAGATTTAAGACACGGATGGAAGCACCCAAAGAATTAAAACCGGTGCTAAATTATACACATTCTGTCAACATGAGAAAAATCCGTCGGTTTTTGAGCAACAGTATTCCACTTTAAGAACCTATATCATTCTGATCTGCAGTTGTAATCTATCATAGTTTTTTTAGTTTCATATGAAAGTCCTCTTCGCAGGTACCAAATATGCGCCTTTTGCGAGATACTGCACATGAAATTTAAGGACAGGAGAAAAGTATTTGAAAAGAAATGAACTTTCAATTTTCAATTTATTAACGATAAAATGCAACTGCGGCAGAAGATTATATGATGCAGCAGCTCGGATACGCAGATTTGCTAAAGTACACTGAAATCATCTATTTAGACTTAAATGGGTCATTAAAATCCTTAAACCCAAAAATTCTCTACTTCAGGAATTCTCGCACACTGTGAAGCAGAAAGGGCTGCATAGTGTTTCTTTTTTCAGATTGAAATTAGCCAGTTTGAAAAAAGTCTGGAAAAGCATGTGAAAGAAAGTATAGTTTGATGTTACGTCAGGCACAACTTTATTTCTATTGTACGTAAATCTGTAAACCAGCACAGCTTTCTATCTTCTTACGAACTTGTAAAATCTACATTTTTTGGATTTTAGGTAAAACTCAAAGAAAAAATCAGAAGATTAAAAACCTTAAGTCCGGTTAAACAGCGATTCTTCGTGATATGAAGTGCTATTTTATCACCCAAAAGTCCGGTAGTTATGCTTGAAAAATAAAACTTTAATAAGACTCAAAGGTAATAATGTTGAGTTGCTTAAAAATATTTTGTAAAAAAATTACAGAAATCGCTGATGTCCCAACTTTTTTAGAGACCATTTTGTACTCACACAGAGTTGAAACATTTCGAACATGTTATCAAACTTGGTGCCAAGCCTTTATTTAAGCAATCTATTTGCTTTTCTCAGTTTCTCTTGCAGTATTTTACGTCAAGCTATTTTTTGAACTATACAGCTCTCAACTAAAAAAATTATTAAAGCCATGAAGAGAACTGTTAAAAAAGCAGATGCTAAAGCGAAATATAATAAAAACTAGAACAATCGCAAAAACCTTACCATTTTTAAGCTGATGTTTCAGTTTCAATTCAGCACTGTCATTTCTTTAGTTCAGTTCCTTTGATAAATATCTTAGAACTTCAAGCATCTGTCTCTTCAAATCCAGTATTGGAAAATCAGTTATCTATGCAGGTACTTAAAAATCAATGTTTGAGCACAATGAGCAGTTCAATTTTTGATTTTTTTAAGTTACTGAATAATAGCGTTGTATCGGTAAAAGTCCCTTGAAAGCAACGTCTATTTAATGATGCAGTAGACTGGACTTTGGTCGTCCTAAAAACTGTTCCTCAACTTTTTAGAGATGTGATAATTTTCTGCTCAGTGTCCCTTTTTTATTTATGATAACTGTTTCTACAAAAAAAAAAA